TTTACTTCCAAACCTGATTCATCCTTGTCTAAATAGCATGAAGTTCCCATGGGTGTGTTAGCTTCCTTTGAGGTGTCCATCCCAAACTTTTTGAGAATCTCCTTGCAGTATTTAGTTTGAGAGATAAAAGTGCCATCTTTAAGTTGCTTGATTTGAAGTCCAAGGAAGAATGTTAATTCTCCCATCATAGACATTTCAAACTTTCCCTGCATAATCTTAGCAAATTCTACACATAACAAACTATCAGTTGATCCAATAATATATCACAAGTAACACATCTTTGATCTCCAAAGTGTTTGCACTGCAGATTGCTCAATTGATTGCTTAAGGATGTGTGAAAACTTATATTCAATGTGAGTTTAGAAAGTTCAAGCCAAACTGTTTTCAATAGAAGATTTTCAAAAGCTGCTTGGTTTAATTAATCTGTTAAAAGTTTCTTTTAATCTGTTAAAGTGCAGTTTTAATCTGTTAAAACATCTTTTAATCGATTAAAACGCGAGTGTAGAAAAAGTTTTTAAGTTGTTTTAATCGATTGAAACGAGTTTTTAACCGATTAAAAGAGTTCTGATCGGTCATAATAAAAATCTGATCGGTCATCCTGACTCACGATCGGTCATAATAAAAATCTGATCGGTCATCCTGACTCAATCAGGTCATAATAAAAATCTGATCGATTACATTTGCTTCGATCGGTCATAATTTGATTCTGATCGATCATCCTGACCCTTTAAGTAATTTTAATCGATTGAAACGTGTTTTTAATCGATTTAAGCGTTCGACAGCTCATAATAACAATCTGATCGGTCAAAATGAGTTCTAAATGGTTTTAATCGATTAAAAACCAGTTGTATCGATTAAAATGCTTGTAAAAAACACTTCTTTGACCACTCTAAGTGATTTTATTTGGTTCTTTCAAAAGCTGCATCGATTAAAAACATGTTTTAAGAAAGCTTTTGTAAAAATACTTTATTTTGAGATTCGTTTAAAACAATTTTAGAGGCTTCTACAAAAATCTTTAAGAGAAGAATCTTTATGCGATAGAAAAGATAAAATGATTTTACCTAAGCATTTTGTTTAAAACATACAAAATGATCCATTTTCTTTGAATAAATAAAAGAGACAAACAGATTTATTTAACTATTGGAACCCAAATATATTTACCTTTTGGAATACCAAAATGTTTAATTTTACACTTATTTGAAGTGTGACCTTGTTTCATACAATAGAAGCATGCATTTGGAGTAGCTTTAGAATAAGATACATTATTAACATGACATGCTCTAGTTCCTTTTTCTACCCATATTCTTTTCTTTTTAGATTTACTCTTTTTCAAAGGAACTCTATGATTTACATTATTTTGAGCAAAAACCATTTCATTCTTCCTAAGATCATCAATTTCTTTTTCGGCTTTGTCAAGCAAATGGTTAAGAATATCTATGTCATATTCATGCTCTTTACAATTTGCACAAGCTAAGTCCTTATTCTCATCTAAGCATACAATTTTCGTATTAGCTACCTCCTTTTCTTCTAAACATGCAATTTTCAATTTTAAGGACTCATTTTCCTTTTCCGATTTTCTTAGATTCTTCTTTACTACTTTATATTCCTTTTTCATATCCATAAATGCAGTAAATAACTCATTATAAGCATTTTGTAATTCATCATGATCATTTTCTTCACAAGAGGATGAATCGGAATCACTAACCTCAACATCCAGAAGAATTGTTGTTATTTGCCATCAAGCAAATGTTTGCTTCAATTTCGAGTCGCTTGATTCTGAATTTGAATCACTTGTCATCCCAAGCAATATATGCTTTCTTCTTGAATTGCTTTTTGCCCTTGTGTTCATCATTTTTCTTGTTTGGGCATTCGATCTTTATATGCCACTGCTTCACCACAACCAAAGCATTTTATATTAACGGAAGAATTTTCTTTTACCTTTTCCTTACCTTTGAAAGGATGTCTTCCTTTTGCTTTCATCATCTTGGTGAACTTCTTTATAAAAAGACTCATTTCTTCTTCATCAATTTCGGAGTCTTCTTCTTCTTCTTTCTTATTTTTGCTTTTTGAAATCTCGGTCTTGAAAGCTAGGTTCTTCTTTTGATATTGACCCTCTTCCTCATTTAGTCTTCCAAGGTCAAGTTCATGCTCCCTAAGCTTTCCAAATAACGCCGCCATAGACATAGTGGCAAGATTTTGTGACTCCGAGATGGCCGTCACCTTTGGTTGCCATTTCCTATCCAGAGATTTCAAGATTTTAACATTTAATTCATCAACGTCAAAAATTTTACCTAGTCCGGTGAGATGGTTCACGATATGAGTGAAACGTTTTTGTACGTCAAATATCGTTTCGCCTGGTTGCATCCGGAACATTTCGTACTCTTGTATTAAGGAGTTTTTACGCGCTCTTTTGACGTCGTCAGTTCCTTCGTGGGTCACCCTTAGCATTTCCCACATTTCCTGTGCACTTTTACAAATAGAAATTCTGTAGAACTCATCAAGGGTTAGAGCGAGATGAAATAATGTTTCTAGCCCTAACATCAAATTGTACTTTTCGACTTTCGTCAGCGGTCCATCTATCAAAAGGTTTAAGAACGTCAACACCGTTCTACGTAATTTTAGGAACAAATGGACCGTTTAAAATTGCGTCCCAAACACCTCTATCAACGAGACTCTAAAAATATTTGCATACGTACTTTCCAAAAAGGATAATTTTGACCCGCAAAAGTGGGGGTACTGTTGATAGACGCACCTTCGGCAAAAGTTTGATTTTGTCCGGCCATTTTCGAAAAGTTTGAATGACTATCAAAGCAAGCTCGATACCACTTGTTAGAATCGCGCGAGCGAGATGTTCGCGTGGTCGGACAAAAACCAAGAGGGGGTGAATTGGTTTCTTAATAAAAATTAGGTTTTCAAAATTTTCCCCAAATTTTACCGATTAAAAACTGCGTAAATGTAAATAGAGAAGAGTAGAGAAGATTACACGAGTAGGTTTATACTGGTTCGGATCAAAAGACCCTACGTCCAGTTGCTAATCACTCAAAAGAGGATTAACGCGTCACTAAGAACAAATTGTTAAAACAGATTACAAATCAAAGAGATAAAGTAAAGAATACACCTCTCTTGAAATCCACAAGAGATGATCAACAGCTTTCCTCGGAGACGGCCATGGCACACAATCCACTAAGAACTCCACTTAGTGATTCTTATCGCTTCTAGCCTCACACCAGGTTTCCAAAAGCCCCGAAGAACAGCTTTTCCCGGAGACGGCACAGCACACAATCCACTAAGAACTCCACTTAGTGATTCTTATCGCTTCTAGCCTCACACCAGGTTCGAAAGCCCCCTTTCCTTGCAACAAACAGTTCTCGGCACTCACGACACTTAACTTTTGTATGGAAAGAGTTGTTCTTCGATTGTTCGAGTGCCAAAGCAGAGTTTAAGTAGGGAAATTAGGGTTAAGGAATTGGGGATTTCGAAACTAGGGTTCTTGGTAATTGGGTTTTCGAAAATAGGGTTAATTTGAAATTTAAAAACAAAAACAGATCGAAATAATCGATTAAATGGAGTTTTAATCGATTAAAACGAAGCCAAATACGCGAGAACCCAATCCTCTCTGGTTTAATCGATTATTTGGTGAAATAATCGATTATTTGACCTTTTAATCGATTATTTTAATGTTTTAATCGATTAAAACGAGTGAGTATATCTTGAAAATGGTTTTCTCATCTGTTTTAATCGATTATTTCCTATATAATCGATTAAAGCCGAGACTCGCATGATAAATTTGAGCATTTTGAAGCTTCTAAGTTATAGACTATGTACAGGCTATCTTAGACTCTATAATTACGGACTCAATCAAACTAAAACAGAGTTATTACAATACAGAAATCATCAATCTTCAATCTTCAATACTCTAAGTCTTTAAGCTCTTGGATCATCATCAAAATCAACATTCTTCATGATCATTATTTGCAACATCAAGTCCTTGAATGTTCAACAGTTCGTTGATGAAAGCACCAAATGTTATAATGGTTAAACCAACAACGACAGTATTATGAATATTTCACTGTATTCTCAAGTCAGAGAAGAATGTCAAAAGGACAGAAAAATATTCGCATAACAGAAAAGAGAGAAAATACATTCAACACACACCCTCCCCCCACTATCCAAAAAACCCATCATATATAATTATTTGTTGTCACCACGAATCCTTTCAAACGTGAATTCGGTGTCTTTGTCCTGGTGCTCCTTTTGATTCTCACCTCCTTAGGATCACTTGCCACATGTATTGCCCCACTAACAGTGGTTATTTCCTTAATTGTCCCTGTTGCTTCTTCCTCTCTTACACACTCTCATGTTTTCAAATGGTTTTACACTGCATATGTTATAACTGGACACTACATTAGTCTTTCAGATTGAAAACCAAAAACTTAATTTGCTAATGGAGGTTAATAAAATAAACAAATTTATTTTAAAAAATAATCCAAATTGGTCAAGCAAGGCAAGGTAATAGAAAATAGTTAGTATGCAAAAGAATCATTAAATAACCTTAATAAAAATGATAATATATTAATACTTTTTATTAAATCTTTAAATTGAAGAATTAAATTATTTTTTTATTTAATTTTAACAAGTACAATAATTTTGATTTCATTATTTTATTCATTTGCCTAATAATAATAATAAAATAAATAAATAAACTAAAATCAAAATAAAAAATATTTTAATATTATTTTTTGCGTGAACATTGATGATGTGGGTTTTTGAGGAGTGAGAAAAATTATTGGAATTCTATGAAAGAGTCTCGTGAGTCAACATGTATGTCATGCCAGTTTTATATGACTGGATGGAGTGGCACGATCTGCCTCTTGGCTTATATCGAGATATTGATTCCTTCACACAATAATTTATTTCTCGTATCTACAAATTAACATACTTCTCGTAAAAATCCGAATGGAGTCTAATTAAAACTCCTAGGCACTTCATTGTGGCCCTTCATGCATGCTACACATAACTCTTCTCCCTCCCTGCAAACGAGGATCTTGGCCACCTCGTGCGACTTTGGTGCTATAATTCTATTCGGTGGCATAAGGGGAAAGGTGATGACTATGAAGGAAACGAAAGTGGAGAGGGCGATAAGGTCCAACGCCTCTATGACATCAGGAGCAGAGATGGTGGTGGTGAAGTAGGTGAGCGATGTGAATGGCAAGACTTGACGACAAGGTTTGAGTGCAGGGTAGTGGTTATTGGCGAAGAGACTTTTTCCCTTTTGTATAATAAAAAATATTTTTTGTATAGTAAGAAATATTTTATCGTTTCTCACATATGATACCAATTGTTAATGCTCTAAAGCTTTTCTTTGATTTGTAGTACTACTTTGTAAGTTATGTACCCCTATAACCTTAATACTTATTTATATTGACTGTTCTCCTTAGACTTGAGTCTTTGTTCGTGATTCCCTATGTTCGGTTATTATTCATTCTTGGTAACAAACAAATTTTAGACATGATTCTCTGGATTGTATTTCTGAAAATAAGGAAACTCATCAGGCAGGAGAAATTGTTGGAATTGTATAAAAGAGTCTCAGAAGCCAAGATGCATGCCAGTTGCATACGACCAGGTGGAGTGACACAAGATCTGCCTCTTGACTTATGTCAATATATTGATTCATTCACATAACAATTTTCTTCTCATATCGAAGAATTCACATATGTTCCATCTAGGAATAAGAATGTTTTTGCCTCATGTCCTTTATGATAATTTTTATAGATGAAATTGAATAGATAGCTTAATGCTCTACAGTTCTCCTTCAAACCGCACTATATTGTAAGTTATTTATCTCTATAACCCTGTTACTTATTTATATTGACCTCTCTCCTTCAACTTAGGCCTTATTTCCTGATTTCCTACCCGGTTATGAATCATTCTTGGTAACAGGCGAGATTCTTGGGATTGTATCCTTGAAATAAAGAAACTCATCACATAACTAACTAGTAAGGTCGGTCACACGATGAGGTGGACGATTTGGACACTGCATAGCCTCTTAGCCTCTAGTGTTACACATTGAGGCTTTAAGGGAACCATTTTGTCTCGTTCCACATTAACATTTATACGTCAGTATTTCTGTGATGCAATGACTCAAGTGTCTTATACAGATCGGATGTTGCTTTTCATATGATAACTCAAACGTTGCTTGTTTTGGCGGGAATACGCTTGTCACGTATTATTACTCTCGTCATGTGTTATCACTACCAGAGGTCCGAGAATGCTGCTTAGACCAAAATTGCCAACATGCATGTTGCTAGCTTCATTAGGGCCATGAATGGACAAATCGTAAACGAAGAGGATTAATTTACATTGTACTTAATGTAATATTAATTATAATATGTGCTTATCATATAGTCTTTGCATTTAACATTCATTGTGTTAGTCTTGTATGTGATAAACGAGTAGAGTAGATATACTTCGTTGAGTCATTGTGTTAAGTAGACTGATTTCATTGGGTCACCGTGTATAGTAGATCGATCTCATTGGGTCATCATGTAAAGTAGATCGATCTCGTTGGGTCATCGTATAGAATAAATCGACCTTATTAGGTCATCATATAGAATAAACCGATTCCGTTAGGTCTTCGTATAGAATAGACCGATCTTATTGGGTTATCATATAGTCTTGTCAAAATCTTAGGATGAACATATATAATGTCAAATTAGACTAAAATCAGCAAATATAATTTCAATATTTTACGTATCATTTTTTAAGTGAAATATATTGTTAAAATATTTTTTATTTTGAGAAATTGAAATATTTAAAAAAAAATTAAAAGATTAAAATTATAATTATTTTAAATTTCAAAACATAAGATTACAGGTGTTTAATTTTACAATTGAAATGCTCTAAGTGCAGATTGAAAAATAAAATTATACTTAAAATATATAGTTGACAATAGGATCTATAGAATTATAAAACAATTTAATATATTATTATTATATTAGTTTTTTTAGTTTATCAGTAATTATATTACTAATAAATTGTTAATTTTTTTAATTTAATTTTAATAATATGTCTTCATAGATTTTTTTTTTATATATATTTTATTTTTATATTTGAAATATGTAAGTAAGAGATGTTATATAGTCTGTGCATACTAAGTATAGACAAGCATTTCAAATTCAAATAGAGAATCAATATTTTAGTTTGTTTGTGAGATATCACTTTCCTGTTTTCGAATGGTTTTACACTGCATATGCTACAACGGGACAATACATTACTCTTTCATATTGAAAACCAAAAACTTAATTTGCTAATGGAGGTTAATAAAATAAACAAATTTATTTTCAAAAGTAATCCAAATTGGTCAAACAATGCAAGGTAATAGATTAAGATCTTGTTTCTTGGAATGATAAAAATAGTTAGTATGCAAAAGAATCATTGAATAACCTTAATAAAAATGATAATATATTAATACTTTTTATTAAATTGTTAAATTGAAGAAATAAATTATTTTTTTATTTAATTTTAACAAGTACAATAATTTTGATTTCATTTTTTTATTCATTTGCATAATAATAATAATAATAATAATAATAATAATAATAATAATAATAATAATAATAATAATAAATAAAAAAGATTTTAATCTTATCTTTTATGTGGACATTGATGATATGGGTTTTTGAGGAGCTGAGAGAAATTATTGGAATTCTACAAAAGAGTCTCACGAACCAACATGTATGCCAATTTCATACAACTGGGTGGAGTGGCACGATCTGCCTCTTGGCTTATGTTGAGATATTGATTCCTTCACACAACAATTTATTTTTCATATCGACGAATTAACATACTTCTCATGAAAATCCCCATGGACTATAATCAAAACCCCCCAGACACTTCATTGTGGCCTCTCATGCATGTTACGCTTAACTCTTCTCCCTCCCTGCACTGCAATGAGGCTCTTGGCCACCTCGTGCGACTTTGGTGCTATAATTCTATCGGGTGACATAAGGGGAAAGACGATGATTATGAAGGAAATGAAAGTGGAGAGGGTGATAAGATTCAGCGCCTCTGTGAATTAATATTTGAGTGATGTGATGTGAATGATGTGAATGGTGAGTGATGTGAATGTGAATGGTGAAGTAGGTGAGTGATGTGAATAGCAAGACTTGATGACAAGGTTTGAGTGCAGGGAAGTGGTTGTGGCGAAGATGATTTTTCCCTTTTGTATAGTAAGAAATACTACTTTATGGTTTTGTATAGTAAGAAATACTTTATCGTTTCTCACATATGATACCAATTATTAATGCTCTAAAGCTCTTCTTTGATTCGTAGTACTACCTTGTAAGTTATGTACCCCTATAACCTTAATACTTATTTATATTGACCGCTCTCCTTAGACCTGGGTCTTCATTCGTGATTCCCTATATTCGGTTATTATTCATTCTTGGTAACAAATGGATTTTAGACATGATTCTCGAGATTGTATCTTTGAAATAAGGAAGCTCATCAGGAGGGAGAAATTGTTGGAATTCTATGAAAGAGTCTCGGAAGCCAAGATGTATGCCAATTTCATATGACTAGGTGGAGTGACACAAGATCTTCTTCTTGGCTTATGTCGAGATATTGATTCATTCACATAATAATTTGCTTCTCCTATCGAAGAATTCACATATGTTACATCAACGAATAGAGTGTTTCGACCTCATGTCCTTTATGATAACATCGTTAATGTCAATTCTCATATTCGATATATTATCAATTTTGAAGCTCTTACTCGTCACAATTTTGTCCTTAAAAGGCGCCTCAAAGAGGAGGGTGTCTTTAAACTACCTTTGGTACGACTCCTAAGCGGTGTGAGACTCTTAAGCGTATCAGAATATAAGCCCCTCAATCGAGGGTTAAAGGGTATGAGTGGAGCGAGATTCGGCCCCCACGGTGGGTACCAATGTTTTATCTAGAAATGAGAGTGTCTTGATCTCGTGTGCGTTATGATATTATGGTCAATTTGCATATTCGAGGTATTATTCGCTTTGGAGCTCTCGTTTGTGACAGTTTTGTTCTTAAAATACACCTTGACGGTGATGAAAATTTTTAGAATTTTGTATATGTGTATTTCTGATATATGAAATATATCTCATACGGGTATATATTTTATTCATGTACTCTATCTATATATAAAGTAAAAATATGATAAAATATTAAATATTAATAATATCTCAATCATAACTGTCTAAACTAAAATAATAACTTAATATTTTTTTATCTTCTTCTCTTAAAATATAATAAAATCTCTTAATACTTAATTTAAATAAAAGATAATAAAGTAATATTCCAAACATTCCTCCTTATTTTAATATCTGTTTATTTGAATTTAATATTTTTCCTTCCTATTCTTGTTTTCTTCATCCTCTTTTACTTGTAATTTTTGTCATTTTCTTTCTTGTATAGAAACATTATTTCATTCAATCTTGTTATCGCACTGTCATATTGTTCCTTTGCGATCACTTGCAAACAAACTTTTTTCACAGTATGATCTTTCTTCTCACAACCCATAGGATTGTGTTCTATGTGACCATTTCTACAATTAAACACAAAGAAATGACTAAAAATGCTTATATTGGATGAAGAAGGAAAAATAGCATCATGTACTAAATGTGAAAACCTCTAAGCACGTGTAAGTATACTATAATACCATAAACTACATATCTACTTCATCTTTTTTATACTTTTTAAAATTATTTAGTCTATGAAAATGTTGATGGTACTCCATGACTATTTCTCTGTATCAATGTACTTTCATTTGTATTATGCCCTCCTAACATAATAAGTTTATTTGTTGTTACATGAGATCCAACATAAGTACTTATGGTATCACTTATTGGATGCATTACTAATATTTCCTTATTACTTTTTGACTATTATTGTTATTCTAATCATTTATATTGGTTAAAACATTCTCACGCACACTATTATGTCCAATACCTATATTCTGCCCTTCATTATTTTGATGAGTAATACTAGGTGTAGCTTTGGATATTAATACAAAACTAGGTACAAAATTTTGTGCAAAACTTCTCAATATGATACACTGTTCTTGTTCAAATTTTCTTTGAAAACTAATAATCAAGAGAGATTTGTCCCACCAGGCATGCCAATTTGTTTCTAGTGTAAAATGATTCGTTGTTCGATTAATTTTTACTCATATAAGTATTTTTGTGATGATCCACTTTAACCACTACGTGGATTCTTTTAATTTGGACTAGTAAGCGTGAATACTTTTCAATCTAGAGAATCCTCTTACTTATTATTATTGATCACTCAATAATTAATATAATGTTAATTTTTATTTGTGATCTATCTTATATAATTTGAATTTTTAGTACAAGTTTTAATATTCAAACTAAAGTGCGAAAAAAAGAAATATATAAACAAAGTAAATTGTAGGACAAATAAATATGTGATGAAGATAATACATGAAAGTAATTAATCTAACTCATTACCAATGAGAAAACGAAAATTTGTAAATGAAATCAATAAAAATGACAATCCAAATTGTAAAGAATTATACGTTTATCCTGTGTTCATAGCATTTTTCAGGATGCAAGTCTTCATATAATTTGACCATCACCCTTTATTACATTTATTTTATCTTATTTATATTTTACCTTGTGCAACAACTAGTAAAAGTAAAATAAATTCAAATACAAAAATAAAATCAAATAAAACAAATTTTTTCTCATAACTACTTCCCTATTTTCTCGAGCTATTTATTTGCCACATAAGCTAT